CCCTCCTGACCATGTCATCAAGTCAGCCTCTCTTTCATTTTAAGATGGAGCAGCGTCTGTCTCCAAGTCTCTCCTCTGTTTCTTAACATTTAAAAGTACACCTATTTATACCTTAGGTGTCATCATTTTAGGGTTACCATAGTTCATATATAGTGATGTCCCGAACGGTTCGCCGAACAGTTCGCCGCGGGCGGTAAACTTTGACCCTGTATCTCACAGTCAGCAGACACATTCCAGCCAATCAGCAGCAGACCCTCCTTCCCAGACCGTCCCACCTCCTGGACAGCATCCATTTTACATTCATTGTGAAGCTGCATTCTTAGTGAGCTGTCCAGGAGGTGGGAGGGTCTGCTGCTGATTGGCTGGAATGTGTCTGCTGACTGTGAGGTACAGGGTCAAAGCTTACCGCATATGTTCGCCGTCCGCGGCGAACCGTTCGGCGAACCGTTCGGGACATCACTATTCATATATAAAAAAAGTAACTTTTTTACTTTATTCATTTTAGGACCTTCCTTAACTTGGCAAACATACAAGGCCATAACTAAAGGGTGTATACGTCATGCTATTTTCCTGTCTTCGGTCAAGATGGCATCTTAAAGTCTCCTTATCTACTAAGGTTACCACAGTATATTGTGTACTGAAAGAGTCATAGGAGAGCCTTGAAGCTTGTTTATGCATTCTTGTTATTGTAATTCGTCTGGGACAAAATGGCGTAAACATATTATGCACTGAGGTTATTGCTTAAAGAAACAGTTATGAAAAACAATATGTTCCATTTGTAACACCTTGCCAGTTTGCAATATTTCTTAAAGACAAAGTACACAGTTTAAGAAATACAACATTTAATTCTAAAACTTGTAATATTTGCATTTGCCCATAACAATAGTATAGTCCAAGATAATTTGAACAATTGACTGTGATGGAATTAAAGTACTAATAGAAGACATTTGTAGAAAACATTTTCAGCTAAAAGACACCAGATTGCAGGAGACAGGCTATGGTTATTCTGTTATGTGTTTGTGATTTTTTTCCTTTTAAATGTTCCATTAGAGATGATACTTAGCAAAACGCACTGGTTACATACATAAACCCTATCATAGACACATAACAGGATACACAGTAAATCCTATTACTTTATTAATGTAATCCAATGCTGTCCTGTTTACCAGTAATCTGGTAAATCTAAACGGTAAGAAAAGGGCAACAGTTACTGTGGAGGACTTCTGACCTCTGACTCCATGTATAACGTTAAACATCATTTGGTCCCCAGCATTATAGCTAAAAATAGTTATTTAGAATACTGGTATTAAGCAAAAAGCATTTATTTTTTATTGTTTATTTCAGTAACCTGTTTAGTATATTTCTGTGGCTTTTGAATTTGTGGCAATATAGCAGTTGTGGGGTAAGCGCACAGTGATTATGGTGCCAGGAGTGCCATTGCGCCCCCACAATGTAAGTAGTCAAACTGTTTGCTAATGGTTTGACAACTTACCCAGTCCATGCTGGTCACATTTGTCTAGCATAGGCAGTAAAAAGTCAGAAAGTAGGGAGATCATTTTATCACTCAGAGAAGCCTGTATGTATCACTTTAAGGTTGAACCATTCCGATGGGTAAAGTTATATCTTAAAGGAACTCTATAGTGTCAGGAATACAAACGTGTATTTCTGAGACTATAGTGTTTAACTATTTATGTCCCCGGCCCCCCTTACATAAAATGATAAAGGTGATTTTACTCAAATTTTTTCCCATGCCGTGCCTGTTATTGCCTGGCTCTGCCTCCCTGGCTGTGTCAAGCAGCATCTCCTCATGAAGATTAATTGAATCATTGCATCTCTATTGTGAACTTTCAGCACCTTCATGCAGTGTGAAGGCGCTGACTATAGGTCTGCGTGACTGCTCCTAGAGGTGTTGCTAAGCAGCAAAATAAACACTGCCTTTTCTCTGAAAAGGCAACGTTTACAGTTCTTTGGCTGCAGGGACAAGCTATAGACACCAGAACCACTACATTAAACTGTAGTGGTTCTGGTGACTGTAGTGTCCTTTTAATACACATATTGTATCTCCATGCTAAAAAGAGGAAGCAGTTGGAAAAAGTACTGGAATTTACATGCTATATTTTGTAATTATTTTCTTTTACTGTGTTCAGTACCTTGTTAACCATGCCCCTATTGGTGACTCATAATGGCATAATTGAAAATGGGGAATAATCAGTGTGTTATTGTCTCTTCTCCACTGTTTACGAAAGAGATCTAAGAGACAAATCATTAACCCCTGAAGTGCGGATATTAGCATCTCTGGGTACACTGTGCGTTATTTTGGCTGGATTAGCTTGACAGGAGTTTACATCCGTAGCTGCAGGGCTCCCAAGCATTGCTAGGGAATGGATTGTATTCAGCATGCGTCTGGTGGCTGAAATGTAACTAATCATATCAGTTATGTGCATATTTATCAAGGTTTTTGTGCTCTGTGAATATGCAAAACCCCAGATTTCTACCAAATAATTGCACAAATGCTGCAAACCTGCAGGCTTGGGAAATAGAACCTCAGATTGTAATGACAGCAGCTTTGTGCTATAATGGCGTATAAGTGGTTCTGTCAATATTGACAAAGGCATTCTTCTGGCTGCAATCCATCTGTTGTGCTGCAGAATGTGTTACCATTTACACAAATTATTTCAAGGTAATGGCTTTAGAAAGTTCCCATCTGAGTCTGATTAACCAATTCGGTACCGTTTGGGCAGATTACGGGTTACTTATCCCAACTGCAGTGGACTACAACTCCCATGATGGCTAGCCACGAAGAAAGAACTTCGACAACTAACACCGATGTTGAAGTCCACAGCTGCTCAAGTGTTATGGGTTGCTGATGCCTGTCTGTGGGTTTTGCAGAGCTTGGTGAAGCAAGCTGCTTTGTTTTGCTAGTGGCTAGTCACATGTACAATTGCTGCAGTGCAGATCTACAGCATGAGGACAGCTGATTATCACAGTGCCAGATATCCAGCTTGTACCTCTGCACTTGTCAATGACAGGCGCATATATTAACCCTTTGTTAGTAGTGAGACTCGCAGTGTATAGTGCACAGTGAGTAGGGGGAAATAGTCTTTAAATGCAGTTTGATGAGGTTATGTATAGCAAACTGTTGCTCTGGTTTTTTTTTTCTTATTATTTTGATCATCATCTAGAATATATGTATTTATTTTGTTTATTTATTATTATTTTTTTCCCTTCCCCTGATTAACTGTAAAAGACTACTAAGGACATCTGAGCTGCTGTGGACTTGGGGGTTCACTGAACAGTGACATTTTGGGAAAATAAAAAAACCTTGTAAGAACGACAAAAAGAGTAAAGTTTGCAAAATAATCTCTATCCTGATTTGTTGTCCACAGCCTTCACTGACTTTCAGAAGGCTTGAAAAGATCTGTGTGATGTAAGACTGAAAGTCGTAATGCTAAACAATATCTAAACAATGTGATTCTCCTGTATTGCCCTTATATTTTGAATTGGCTTTTATTAAACAATGTATATTATATGTCGTCATCCAGCTGATTTATTTCCCATTATTCCCAGTTAATCAAACACGATTTTGCTTTCCTGTGATGATCTTGTCCAGGGATAGGCAACCATTTGGCACTCCAGGTGTCGTGGACCACATCTACCTTTATGCTTTGCCAACATTATCGCTGTAAGAGCGGTAGGCCACAACATCTGGAGTGCCAAAGGTTGCCTACCCTTGATCTAGTCTCTAATATCATATTCATCTTTTGTTTTACTGGTGCGTCTGTATTCCAAACTTCATCAGTTGTTTGAGTGTCTGTCACAGCACTGCATGATATTTGGGTTTTTGATTAACAAACAAAATGAAGAAAAAAGCTTTTAGGAAGCAGAGCATAAAAATAGATTTAAATACCCTAGCCTAGAAGAAATTCTTAAGATTACAAATCTCCTTTTTTTTATACCATGGGTATGTTTTTAGAATGTGTCACTTGCAAGGCCTGGTGACAATTAAAACGCTTGTTAATGTTAGAATGCACTAAATGAAATGCACCAACGAATAGGCTTGAATTGCAGTGATCCACATCATAGATTAAGATTTGTATCCATCCAGTTTGCTGTCAGAGCAGCACAGCGTTCATATGTTCATAAAACAGGGAAACGTTTTACTTAAATGTAGCCACTTTTATTACACAATATAATAATGTGAAAACTTCAAACAGGAAATCAATAAACCCCCAACCAGAAATAGATTAATTCCCCCTTGAATAAGCAGTGCTGCAAAATAGATTTATTTTTATTGGTCTGAGAAAGAGGGTCCCTATCCGGTGGCAACAGATATTTGACTGCATTTCAAGGAAAGACCTAAATTATAAAAGCTCAGCATGTCTTTAAATGTAGTTGTGATTCATTACTGTATCAGGTGGAATGGCGTTATTTTAACCAGATCTCTTTTCTTTCTCTAAAATTGAGGCTAAAATCTGCCATTCAATTAGTTTAGGTAGTGTTTTTGGCCAACTCCGCTGTTTTTGCTTATATTTTGCAAATAATTTTCTTAGGTCACCGCAGCTCTGCATTTCATGAATAAAAAACAAACTGTCAAAAGAGAAACTCTGACATATGACTTAAATGTAGGCAGACAATGTAACAGAGCAGCAGGAAATGCTATGCTTGGTTGTATAGGGAGGGGTATTAGCAGTAGAAAGAGGGAAGTGCTAATGTCATTGTACAGAACACTGGTGAGACCTCACTTGGAATATTGTACTCACTACTGGAGACCATATCTTGATATTGATACTTTGGAGAGAGTTCAGAGAAGGGCTACTAAACAGGTTCATGGATTGCAGGATAAAACTTACAAGGAAAGGTTAAAGGATCTTAAGATGTGTAGCTTGCCCCACGGAGGAATTCCGGTCTTTGGAATCAGAGTTCGCATTTCATTGGTGTCACCATAGAATGAAATATTTGGGAGTCTGGGTATCCGAGGACCCGAGCAATATATACCAACACAACTTTGCGCCCTTATTAAAAGCTGTACTCACGGACCTAACCAGATGGAACCATCCGCACATAACATGGCACGGAAGGGTTGCGGTAATTAAAATGAACATTCTCCCGAGGATCCTGTACCTTATGCAAACTATACCTCTCGCTCTGCCATCAGCTTTCTTTTCCACCCTGAAAACAGCAGTGCTCAAGTTTATTTGGAGGGGAGGACGCTCCAGGATCCGACATGACATATTGTGCCGACCTAGAATTCACGGAGGTCTGGCAGTACCCGACTTTAAGAAGTACTACCAAGCTGCAAGCATGCAACGTATACTAGACTGGCACACAACACCTTCAACTAAACAATGGGTAGAGCTCGATAGAGGTCTAATCGGACCATCGCTGGAGGCGCAGGTTTGGGGTCACTCGAGGCGACCACCAACTCATCTTACCAAGGAAGGATTGACACTACAGACCCTGATAAGCTGGATATCTGTAAGACGACAGGACCACATCTCTCCCTCCCCCAGCCCGATGATACCAATTACACATAATGAAGCGATAGGGGGGGACTCCCCTCGGGAGCCTGGCCTTTGCAAGAGGATGGCACATATATACCTATACACAAGGCTCTTGAGGGCGGAAGGCTACGGACTCTTCCCTCGATGCTAGGAGACAGCCCTCAGACGCATCTCTTCCGATTCAGATATTTCCAATTGAAACACTTCTACGAAACACTACCACACAAGGATAAACTACATAGAGATCTCACGTGGTTTGAGACCCTCTGTGATCGTGGCACAGCTATAGAACACGCTATTTCTGCACTGTATCAACACCTCTTGACCGGTCAATCGACAGCGGTCACAACGTTCAAACGGCAATGGGAAGAACAACTTGGACAATCCCTCTCGACACAGCAATGGGATACGGCGTTGCTCTGGCAGCATAAAAGCTCAATGAGCTCTTACTATCAAGAAATGAACTATAAACTAATTTCTCTCTGGTATAGGACACCTACCTTACTACATCGTATATTTCCCTCAATATCACCGATGTGTTGGAGGTGTCAGGAGACACGTGGAACGGTACTACACATCTGGTGGGAATGCGGAGCCATAACCCCATACTGGGAAATGATCAAGGAAACAATCGTACTCATCCTGGGGGACCTTCCGGATTGGAACGCAGAACTGGCATTACTACACATCACACCATTATCCATATCTTTGTATAAGAAATCGATACTGCGGCACTTGCTTAATGCCGCCAAAGCCAACATCCCAGCTCACTGGAAACAAACCGACATACCTACTAAAAAAGAATGGATCCACAGGGTGGAAGAGATCCAAGGAGCAGAAGCAGCATACGCCACTCTAACAGGTCGGGAGACCAGGCACGCAGAGAAGTGGACGCCGTGGTTCCTGTACATATCTCGCTACCGCAGTGATGGAGGTGCACCGGGGCCCGAAGTGGGGGCACGGCCGGACGCGAGCTAAGCCAGAGGGATCATACCCTGTGTAACCTGCTTACCCCTACCCCTTGCCCTTCCCACTCTCTTATCCTTCTTGCCGGCGGGTGGGGGGCCGGGCCCGGGGCTGGGGGGATCTGCTGAGGGCGCTTTGCGGAACTACAAACAACACCTTACACTGGGAGAGTCACAAGGGACCTGGACACTACACCAATTGAGGTACTATGACTCAGGATAACTCATTATAGACGGGAGATACTTGGATATCAAGCGGGACGAACACATGGCAAGTTACATGATGAACATCCCAAACCGGATAGACCCGTGACACCTTTCACTCTTGCACAGTAGTAACACCCACATCACACAACACTTTGACACTTCTCTCATGATATACAGGAGAGGGAAGCCCCAAGCACTTTTTCTTAGACACAGAGGCACATGGTCGCTACGCGAGCTCAGCATAGAGTTACGGTTGAGGGAAAATCGATGGGTCAGATGAGGGGCCCAGGTTGGTTGCAGGTCCCGACTTCCGGGTTGGCCTAGCAATCAGGGTTCCCATCACACAACATGTTGCCACACCCACCGTACCTAGAGTAAAGCACAGGTACCATTAACGATAACCGGCTTCATAACAAATACCTCATCTGAGAGATGAGAAATACATATAGGTGTTTTCTATAATAAACTTCATATAAAAGGTTGGGCTCGACAGAAGTAACCCCGGGAATACTCCATGCTCATTGCTCACCAATCACGACTATAACAAGAGATTTGGCCTAGTGCACAAGACCTCCCATGTTCATTTATAATACCCTGCTGAATGTAAACTAATGGGCAACTGGGTTCAGTCACCTAACTGGCAAGTATAGTCACTATCATGACCAACTTGGTAGCGACAACCTAAGGTTTAATATACTTATGTTTGATTTGAATTCTTATACGTATATACACAGACCTGCGTGTCTTGCTCTGTTATTGTCGATGACTATGCATATTCTTCAATAAAAAGATTTACAAAAAAAAGATGTGTAGCTTGGAGGAAAGACGAGACAGGGGGGGGAGGGGGATATGATAGAAACATTTAAATAAATAAAGGGAATCAAGACAGTAAAGGAGGAGACTATATTTAAAGGGAGAAAAGCCACCACAACAAGAGGACATAGTCTGAAATTAGAGGGGCAAAGGTTGAAAAATAATATCAGTATTACTTTACAGAGAGGGTAGAGGATGCATGGAATAGCCTTCCAGCTGACGTGATAAAGGTAAAAACATTGTGAAGAAGTTTAAAGGACCACTCTAGGCACCCAGACCACTTCAGCTTAATGAAGTGGTCTGGGTGCCAGGTCCAGCTAGGATTAACCCATTTTTTTTATAAACATATCAGTTTCAGAGAAACTGCTATGTTTACAAATGGGTAATCCTTCCTCCAATTCCTCTAGCAGCTGTCTCATTGACAGCCGCTAGAGGCGCTTGCGTGATTCTCACTGTGAAAATCACAGTGAGAGCATGCAAGCGTCAATAGGAAAGCATTGCAAATGCTTTCCTATGCGACCGGCTGAATGCGCGCGCAGCTTTTGCCGCGCGTGCATATTCAGCCGAATGGGAGGAGCGGGGGAGGATCGGAGGAGGAGAGCTCCCCGCCCAGTGCTGGAAAAAGGTAAGTTTTTACCCCTTTCCTCTCCCCAGAGCCTGGCGGGAGGAGGACCCTGAGGGTGGGGGCACCCACAGGGCACCTTAGTGCCAGGAAAACGAGTATGTTTTCCTGGCACTATAGTGGTCCTTTAAGGATGAGTGCAATAGGCATAAGGCCAGGGACTAATGAAAGTATTTAGAAAATTGGGCAGACTAGATGGGCTTAATGGATCTTATCTGCCGTCACATTCTTTATATACTGTACACGTGTACAAGTGCAAGGATATTACAGATTCTTATCTTATCAAGATAGTATTACATCCCTTAAAATAAGACTTAAAGGAATATCAAAGATGAGAAAGCCTTGTAAAAAAAACTTCCCATCTGTTTGCCAGATAAAAATTAGATCAACAGGCGTGAAGGGCTCCTTTTACTTATATGTTAGACTCTTCTACTCTTTGACACGTCAGGGCAATGCCATCAAATAGGTTAAATAAAGTCTACCCCATGCCCACTTTAAACTGAGAGTTGTTGTTTTTTTTAAATGGCATATTGATTCCAATGCAGCACTGTAGTACGCAACTTTAATTACTGTGTTTGAAGAGATGTTCAGAGATCCGCAGGTACATTTGCATAGAGCATGGAATTAAAATAACATTTTGTTCTTTGTTACATGCTTGCTTGTGAATTTTTGGAAACAAATATGACCATGTTACCTCAATCTCCACTGTTAGTAAGCACTGTGCATGCTTCTTTTCCCAGTTTCCATCTTTCATGACAAGATATGTGTGATCGTCTAATCATCTGGCTCATAAAGTATCCAATACCCATTTCCCACAATTAAATGGGGTGTCTAGTCCCCTTGAATTGATAGTATCTATTTTGTTACCCAATAGTCAGGGACGGGTGTGAAAAATTGATACATTTCAATCCTTGTCTTCCCAATACAAGTGGACATGGGCGGGGTGCAGTGTCAAATGCGGCTGCAAATTTCAATTTAGTTTTAGTCATAGTTTTTTGACTAAAAAGCCATTGACGTGACTAAAATCGAATGGGTTTAGTTAAATCATATATCTGTCTCTTTTACCCCTTCCCCAGCCCCTCTGTGACTCTTCAAGTCCCCCTATGTGTCACATTTACTCAGCCCCCCATGTGTCTCATTCCCTCACCCCCCATGTGTCACATTCCCCGCCCCATGTGTCTCATTCCGTCACCCCCATGTGTCTCATTCCCTCAGCCCCATGTGTCTCATTCCCTCACCCCCCATGTGTCACATTCCCTGCCCCCATGTGTCTCATTCCTCACCCCCATGTGTGTCTCATTCCCTCAGGGCCCTACATGTGTGTCTCTATTCTCCTCACCCCCCCATGTGTCTCATTCCCTCACCCCCATGGGTCTCATTCCCTCAGCCTCCATGTGTCTCTATTCTCACCCCCATGTGTTCTATCCCCCCATGTGTCTCATTCTCAGGCCCCATGCCCTCCTCACCTCTAGGTTCCCCTCACCTCCACCCCCATGTGTCTCTCATTCCTCAGGCCCCTCATGTGTCTCTCATTCTCCTCACCCCCCATGTGTCTTATTTCTTCTCCTCCTTCCCCAATGTGTCTTACCTGCCAGTGTTAATTTTGGCGCTAAATTTCAATTTAGTCATAGTCTTTTGACTAAAAAGCCATTTTAGTTTTAGTCGTATTTTAGTCATCTGAATTGTTTTAGTTTTAGTCTAGTTTTAGTCGACTAAAATTGTAATATGACACTAGTTGGGTGTCACACTTAACCATTTCCTCTTTTAATCCTGCATTGGCTGTCCTTGTTTCCTGCCCCTCTTTGTATCAGGGCTCATGGCCTGTTTGCAAGGAAAAAGTATTTTTTTCATTTTCCCTTTCTCTAGTTTTCCTCATGACTCACCAGTATGTTTTCTTCCTTCATTACGCGCAACATTTTATATTTATTTCCAGATATATATATGTGTATACGACTTACTGTGCATTTATATTTTGCTCATTCTGTATTTATTTATGCAAGCCTGCCTGTCTGTCAATCTCAGCAAAAGTGTGGATTCCACCGAGACCTTCATTAGAACAATGACTTGGGGGAGATTGGAAAGTTGAAGCCATTCTTTTTTCAATAAATATTTTTTTTCTTTATTGTAAATGTTCTAATTTCTTTGTAAATATATATATATAAAACCTATATCAATAGGTAGCTGTAAGTGTATAAAAAACACACATATGTACAAGTCCATACACATATTGTTGTAAAAGATACGAAAGATCGATATTACAGTAGTAGTGCATGCGTGTGTGTCTGTGTCAGTTTTATTGCACACGAGTGTTACCTCCAGCTATTAAAACAGCAAAGACTCAAAGGGAACTCATGCTTTTTTGCTGACTGCAGAACATCTAAGGATCTTGGAAGCTTGGGAACCAAGCAGATATTTTTCAGTCTGTAGTTTGATAGAGATTTTTCTGATCACATCCCCCAACCGAAAGAATTCCCATTGTACCACGCTCATTATAGTTCTGTACATGTGGCGTGGGTTGTTATAAATGAAGGCTGTTACTTCTGCTTACCTCAGAGCAAATATGGTATTAGTACCAATGTTCTCGGATGTGATTGCTGTACTGGTCCATTGTTTTTCTTTTATTATTATTATAGTGTTTTCTATAGTAAAATGTCACTTGGCTCTTTACCTTACCATTGTTGCAAATTCAGTCTCTTTATCTGTTATATATTCATGAAAGTCATTGTATTTGTCGCGCTCTTTCAGTGTTTTTGCCAGAATATTGAGTTCTCAATGTTGTGGATATTATTGAGAAATATGTGAAAAATGCACATAAAAGACCCATGCAAGAATGCTCTTGGTGGTATGTACACCTCTTTTCTTTTTTTCTCCCACCATTTGGTTGAGGTGCTATTTTGTACTCTCCTGCCTATTGCTTTTCCTGACTTGTATTTTACTGTTGATTGAATATAATAAAGCAGATCCTTTTTTTTTACCAGCTACCCATGTGAATCTAGATTTTTGGCTACAGAGTTACTTTATAAGTTTTGATCACTTTTTTATTAACCTTTTTTTATGTGTTTATCTTTGGTTCTTAACTTCTTTACTTAAAAATGTTTGCATACTTCTTTATTGTTATGCCCATTGCTTTCAAGGTTAAGTATTCCATGTGTTTTCAACAGATAGTTATCAAACCTACTCCCAAGTAGACACAACATTCACAATACCTCTCTCATACACTATATACCAGGATAGGTAACCTACTGTGCTAAAACAAGATCTTGAAGTCCATTGATT